TATGTATGTTCCTTTGATCATGTATTTTCTTCAATCCTTTGGGATAGGTGAATATATTGGCCTTACTGGACCAAGATTGGATGGTGCCGAGATGCTTGCATGTGGCCTTGCTACTCATTTTGTGCCTTCCAAGGTACCACTTTCACATAATATTTTGTTTTTTAATCTTTCTTTTGTTGTTTTCAATCAGTATAACAAGATCGACGGGTATGGAAATCTATAATTATATAACCCTAATCTTGGGTCCCCCTCTCTCTATCTCGTCCATCATTTCATTGCATGGTGATGCCCTAGTGGACTATCATTTCCATAGTCCATTCGAGTACAATATATTTTCCCGTTTTTTTAATATCATTTTTTACTTCTTATTTCTTGAAACCTATGGGACTTATTCTAATATCAACCTTTTATGATTTAATAGGCATTGCCTTCGCTTGAAAAGGAATTATCTAAGGTGGATACCTTAGATCCCTCTGTGATTTGTGCTATGATAGATTGGTTTGCGCAGAAAGTGCCATTGATGGATAATAGTGCTTATCATAGGCAAGCTCTCTGTTTGTTTCTTATGAAATGCTTCCTTATTGAAAGTGCATTTTGCTTTTTGGTTTTATTATATACTTCCCCTTTAAAAATTAAATGGTCTAGAACACTAAAAGTTTGAATGTTAATTGGCTATTTAGATGAATGTTTAAATTGATTACTAAAACCACCATGAATTTTCCCCCATGACTTTTTCTAAGACTACCTTTTAATATTTTACAGATTGGATGTAATCAATAGGTGCTTCTCCCGAAGAACGATCGAGGAAATTCTTTCTGCTCTTGTATGCAGCAAACATCTCTTGCATTGCACAATCCACACAGCTTTTAAATTTTAAGAATGAACACAAACTTGAAGAGTCACAAAAATAAAATGGAGTCTCATGTGTTGATCCAAGAGAAACATAAATAAATTATCATCAAACTCGTTAATGATTACAGGAAAACGAAGCTGAGCATGGAGCAGATGCATGGCTTTCTAAAGCAATTAAGTCATTGAATAGTGCATCTCCAATAAGCCTTAAGATTTGTCTCAGATCGGTGGGTAATTGCTTCTTTCCATGGTGAGGAAGTCATTTTATGTGAGAGTAAATTTGGTTGAAAAACAAGCTCAAAAAAGAGATTGTTATACATGATTTTGAATGTAAACATATTGAAAAATAATAATAATAATTTTAATGACAAGAACATATGCTAGCTTTGTGCAAAAATAATTTTATGTGACAAATAGGAAATATGAATTTTTTTTTTTTGCATTTTCTTCCATATACGATCCTTCTCCATTGCACTGATGTAGGTCACAAACTCCAAGATATAAAATACGCATTTTTAAAGAGAAATTCATTTTTTTGAACTTTTCTATTCTTTTATACTTCTATTTTCTAACAATACTTTGTACATACTTTACTTAATTTGCCAGATCAGAGAAGGTAGGGTGCAAGGTCTTGATAAATGCCTCATCAGAGAGTATAGAATGTCATGTCACGCCTTGCTTGAAAAATTTAGTCAGGATTTTTATGAGGTATGTCAACTGCACAAGTTCCATTGCTCTTGTCCATGATTTTAAATTGGGTAGCTGTCCATGATTTTAAATTGGGTAGCTGTAAATGTGTCATTGACTAAACTCAAAGTTTAAGTATAATTTTTTTGAATTTTGTAACATATCCCAAGACATCCAATTTAACATCTATTACCTTGTAACAATGGTAAATGATATACAATCCCCATATATATATATATATATATATATATATATTCT